AGTCCCAATTCGAACTAGCTTCTTTGGCCGAGGCCGTTCACTCCTCGGTAGCCCTCGCATACTGACCACAGAACTCGGGCGGGGGTTCTGCGCGCCACTTCCGGGTGACGTCCTAGCTTTATCACTGATTCTTTTTCGACTTTAGACATGTTTGGTGTGACTGGGGTCTTCATCAGCCGGCCTGTCAACCTGGGCCTGACGCTGGTACTAGAACCATTTTTGCAATTTTTGCAAGGCATGGTTAGAGCCTCGGCAGGGATCGAACTCGCGGTTTTTCAGAGGTGCAGACATGAGTCTAACCTCTTAACCACTCGGCTATCCCTGCCTCACACCCTGTTGTCATCGTCGGTAGCTAAATGGAATCTGGCGATGAAAACGTGAGAGGGAGATGCGTGGTTAGACTGTGTATGGCGGTGATAACACCTCAACATGTCAGGTCTTTCGAAAATTTCTGCCGTTTAGTGACACTTCACATTTGTGCTTTCCGCGAAGTTCCAAAGTGTCATAGGTGGACATGGATATCAATTGGAGGAGTTTTTTCTGAACTGACCAAAGCTCGGCTCAACTTGTTCCAAAACATTTTCTTATACTTTTTGATGCTTTGAATGCGGTATACTCGATGAGCAAGTTGGCATGATTTTTTTTCTAGCTTTAAATAGACCTGAAAGTAGCGGGATCATGTCAAGATGTTAACGATGCACTTGGCTCGCGCATAATATGCTATAAAGCTCAGAAAGCTATTGTGTCGAAAGCGAGAGCAGTGGACATGATGAGAGCAGTGGTCGGATATCGGATTGATCTCATAGCCATAAGTTCTGTATGGGATTGCCCTCATAGCCACAAGTTCTGTATGAAGCACTCGTGCGCAGAACCATTGAGAAGGCTCTGCAACATGGATTTTGTTTGTAGGGCCAAGCTATACGGAAGAAGCTGGAAAGTCCTAAAAAATTGATAGGGGCGTGCCGCGACAAATCACCAATTTGAAGGGTCGTCCATCAAATTGTAGCTTGTTTTATGTGATGAAAATGATTCGCTCTTCTACCGCTTTGCAAGGTACAACGGAACAGGGACTCTACAGCACACGAAGCTTTTAAGTAGAACGACATCAATCAAGCTCTACAAACTTTACAAAATTTAAACTGTGCTGAAGGAGAATCATGGCAACTTTCATGAGGTCAGCGGCTGGCCATATTTTTCAGTATAAGGTGGAACTGTTACAGTGGAAAAGCAGTTTGAAAAGTCAGTTCCTGAAAAAGGGCTTTCGAATAGGAAATGTACCGTGCCGGTGTGCAAAAACAAAAGTGAATTCCACGCCGGTACGGAATTCCAACCTAAAGAATCAACAAAAATTCTTCTTCATCCTGACTTGTTATTCTTTGTTAATTGTAGTTTTTGGCCACAGTTCGCCTTTTAGAAGTGTGCTGGGTTGCGAACAAAACATTCGTCCTAAACTGGACTCGAACACACAAGTCATGCTCTTGTGAAAAGTCTTCTTCATCCGTTCTGGTTTTTAGAAAAGTCGTTTGACTGAGGTTCAAAGGGGTCGAGGGTCAAAGTAGTACAGTCGCCCCATATTTGGACGTTTGTGGCAAAGTGACGGTTTTTCCTCGTAAGCAAAATGACCCTCCAACTATACAGCCGCAGCTGTTTGTCCTAGGTGTTCCTTTGCCACAAATTTGACTTATTTAGGCGCTCACTTGACATGCCTTTCGCAGCATAGAAGTTAGGCTAGGTATTTCATTGACGCCTATTAAGCCACGCTCACACTCCAAGATTTGGTAGACTGTGAGGTTAGGCATTAGAAAACCCACTAACGTGAACGCATTGATTCGGGAAGTGAGTAATTGGATGAGATCAGGCGTCTCTACTAAAACCAGTCAGAAGGCACAGAATCTTTCCGAAGCAGTTTCTTAGCCTTCTGATCTTCTGGGCTCCTAATATACCAGTGAACTCGAATAGTTACCAGCGAATTTCGCGGAACGCATTGAGCAAAGTGTCATGTACAGGGACAACGCACTCCTCGCGGAGTCGCGGCGCAGCTGCCATACGAGTGGTCCATAAACAATTGAAGTAGTAAAACCTTGCAATTTACGGAATACAGCAGACCAGAAATTGCATTGTTAGATTTGCAAAATTTAGTATTGAAATCCGTGAAGAACGAGGTTGAACAGACTCCGCCTTGTTGAGCAGTTGTCCCCATCCCGTCATCGTTAAAGAAATCTTACTCAATTATCTCTCGCTTGGTGCTCGGTGGAATCATAGCTTCGATCTTCACATGAGTCATGTCCACATGATCAATCAGTTCATCCTTCTCCCAAGCTGGCTCAGAACTGGACGACGAGCTACCAGAGACTGTGGAGGTCCTTTTTCTTTCTTGTCTTCGTTCTTTTCGCACGTCTTTTCTCCTTGAAGAATCTCGATGTTGACTAAATAGTGAGAGCTTTTACAGGAAGTCACAAAGTCACGGTCAATTTTTGCGTCCCTTTGCATTATACCAAGAGGCACTCCATCAAAGACCCTACTTCTACATTACTTTATCGACAAAACTAGCAAATTTTTGAGTCCCTTTCATTCAATCCTTTAAGAACTCTACCTTTGTATTTTCCGTCGTAGCGCTTCCTTTTTTAGGTATAGAAAGCTCACGTAGGACAAGAAGGCTAGACATGCTAATATCAATGCGAGGATATGTGGCCAGTACTTACTCAGGGAACCTAAATTATTAACATTTGCATGGCATTTTTTGAGAGATCCTTATGCTTGGGTTTTGATTGTTATATTGGCTAGTCCATTTGTTTTGATCAATGCTCTTGCTGAAACCTCTATGGAGAAAAGTGTGCAATTTGTCTCATTGAATTTCTTGCTCCGGAAAAATTTTCACTGTTTTCTGGTGAACCGATGTAAAGGCTGAATAAGGCGATTTTAGTTCCAAAGTGATCCATCATTGCAATTCCTCGATTTTGGAAATCAGTACTATCCAGGCTATGCTGCATCAATTTCGACAAGTGATTAATAAACCACACTATGTCTGATGACCATGGTGGAAAGGTTTTCTCTTGGAGAGGTAAACTACGAGGATCTTCTTTCGAAGTTTTTTTTTGTGGAATTTAGGTAAACCTGTTTGTCTGTAAGATTCTTTAAACTCACCGGTCTCTCCCGTTTTGTACCCTTTCATTGCCTGGGTTTGCTTTACGTCTTCCCTATGTCAATACCTGGGGAGGACGCGTCATGCGCACCCGTATAGTTCTATATAGAGGGAATTATCGCTATTATATCACGATGGAATGAAACTTCAACATATTCAACCTGGTTTAGCCTACAGGCGGTTGTTCTCCTCCACCGCCTCTCCCTCTGTCCTCAAAATGAGCAGTTTTTGAGACTATACTTGGAGTATCCCAACACAATATTGCCACAATGATACCCTGACACTGGCTCGCACCTAATTTCGGTTGGCTTACACAAATAACGGTGAGAATTGCGTTGAGGAAATGGCCGCCTCTTCAATACCCCCCACGGGGACTTCGATACGACTCTCTTTTATCTTCCCTACATCCAGTTTCATAGTAAAAAATGTTAATTTTAGGTGAACGAGAGGGAGGTGGCATCACTGCCACGCTTTGCGATTGGAAACCTAAACCTGATTTTGGACAGGTTGGAGAAGTCGAAGAGCTGATGTCATTCTGAGGAGAAGAAATTTTTTAAAAGCATAGAAACTTATTCAAATACGCTGAGTGCT